ATATGGAATCTTCCACTGACAAAGACAAAATAGCAGGCCTCCTGACAGAAACATTCTCCTCAATGAAGAGAGAACTGGACTCTCTGAAGGATGCAGAAGAGCTTCCAAAAGAAAAGGAGGCACTGGTGAAGCCACAAGATAACCCTAGCCCACTGAATGAGGGATGTGGTGCCAATCTACCAAGTCCCAAGAGCTTGGGAGATGAGCAGACACTCGCTTTGTTGGAACAGTACTCAGAGCTATTGCTGCAAGCTGTGGAACGACGCATGGACAAAAAACTCTAAGAGGGGTGGCTTTCAGGTGTTTGTGAATACACAGAAATAATCACAAGAAGAGGACCACAAAGAGAGCTTCACACCAATGCTACCATCAGCTAGTCTATGGCTGGTGGGGATACCTTTATATAATTGATTTCCTCAGGCTCCAACAACTGACTTGTTCCAATTCTTAGCAATGTGCTGGCCACAGTTTTAATATTTGTTTCCCAATGGTCTTCAACTTCCTGCCTCTAAACAAAGTCTTGAAAGAGGAGTTAGGAGAAATTGCCTTGAAATTTCTTCATAGCCAGGAGGTCAGGATGTTTGACACCTAAAAATACAAAGAAAATCCAGTTTAACCAAGAAATTCTGAACTGCTGACTAAAAGCAGAAGTCCATGTGAAGCCAACCCCTTCCTCTCCAAGACTTCATGAGAATCAAGAATCAGACTTTTTATGGGTTTATTTATTAATTTATTTCTCTTGACTGTTGCTCTATGCCACATTTGTGGCTGATACCGTTGTCCTTTAAAAAAAACTGTCAATCCCTTTGCCATATCCCAGCGAGAAACAATCTCTGTATTATAAATCCCCAACAGGGAGACAGGCTGGAGTGTCTGTGCAATTAATGAACTGTTCTTCTGCTTAGATCTTGTCTTGCTGTTCTTGCTTTTCCTGCCTTAGTTTTGTTCCCTGCAGTAATCCTGCTGTTGTTATGACAACCCTGTCTGCTTTGCTATTGTGTCAAGAGAGTCCCCACACTGTATTTTATCTGCATTCACCTCCAGGGAAAGGCTCAGTATCCCTTGGGCCATGCTTTGGAGATTACTTTATGAATTCATGGTGGTGTTTTTAATCTGGAATTTGAATACTTCAGACTGGGTTTTCTGCAGACATTTTAAAAATTGGATTTAGATACAATACAAAAGTTTGTTTCAGCCAGCTTTCATGATTAGGAATTGGATATTGACTTTGTTATGATTTATTTTTGGAGAAGTGACATGGAAAATCTGCTTTCCATCTCATACAGTGTTACTATGGGTTTGAGAGATCTTCAGTGCCATGGCTGATCTCTGTCATTTGTTCACTGTGATAGGAAAATGTTTTCTCCTTGCCTTCACATGAAAACAAAATACTTACATCCCAAGAAAGCCGTGATTCTTTTACATTTTGTAAAGCTATTTCAAATCCCCACACAAAATTATTTCCTAAGAACTTCAAATGAGATATTTTGGGGTGTGATGACCATCATTTCCCCTGCCTCTAGCCTCTTTGCTTTTCATGAATTTCTGGTCTGAGAAACAGCATCTTCTCTTCTTGCCTTTATATGTGCAATATTCTTCTTGCCCTGTGGAGCTTCTCTAAACTCATGCTAACTTGTGTCTGTTGTGGCTTAAAATTGTCCAGCGATGTTTTTTAGGTCAATGATATAAGCTAAGAAAAACAATTTTAAACCAATGAAATTCTTCAGCACCTTCCCCCTTACTCCCGCTCCTTTCAACAACAGGGGAAAATACACAAAGTGTTTTATTTCTTGCATCTCCAGTCAGTCTTGCATTTATTTTAAGACAGCACAGTGTAATCTGAGTTCATAAAACTAATGCAAGCAACAAGAATTTGATGGGAGAGAGACTGCTAGCATCTGTGGAAGTCAGTCAGAGGCTGCATCACTTGATTACAGAGGTTACAGGGTGGAAGCAGGTTTTTTTTTCATTTTACTGTCCTGGCTGCTGTTTCTCTGAAATCCTGTAGCACTTGGAAATGTGGTCTATTGACTTCTCTGTCTTTCTGTGACTGCAGATCTGCAGTGCAGCCTTTTTTCTGCTGGTCTGGCCAGACTGGCACAGGACAACCTGTTTCTCCTGAGTAACTCTAGGGCTGAATAATCTGCAGTTCTCTCTCTCCCCTAACAGGTTTGCTGCCTGATCACTGCTGAGTGCTTCAGGACATGGCAGTATGGGAAACATTTTGAGAGCTTTCCAGCTCCTTCTGCCTGTAATTGAAATCTGCCTAATCATGTTTCAGGTGTCCTTGCTAACCTTTCCTTCCATGGGCTTTTACTGAAACTTTAAAGGGGTTATTTTCTAGCCCTGTCTCTGCACTGTATTCTGCTGAATCCGCTGGTGTGCTCGGTCCCATGAGCAGCTTCTCTTGCACAGACAGGTTTTGCAAAGGAAGGAGCTGGAAACCAGAGAGGAACTTTCTGGCAGTGTAAAGGTGAGATGGAGATGCCATGAGTGGAATGTGTGATAACAGTCATGTTGGGTCTGTGATGGAAGTTAGTGTGGGTCAAGCTTGCTTTTGAGGTGACCAGTTCCTCCACTTTCAGACTGTGAACATATGTCCTAGTATACAGGGAATTTCTTGCTGTACTGGGGCCACAAGACACTCAGGAAATATAGCAGCCCCTTGAACCCAGGTATATTTTGGTACTGTTGATAATGGTTTGACGGTCCTTTATATTACTTCCTTGTGCAATTTTATACCATTTTATTATTTAAACATTGAGGTAGTGACAAGAAGCTCAGAGATGATACAGAAGAGCTGAGTGGTGAGAATGAAATTACCATGAAAGTAAAGGGCAACAACCAGCAAAGTTGGCATAGAGATATGAAACAAAGCTCCTTGGAAATAAGTTGTGTGAAGCAAATCTGATTTTTAAGCTGATCAGAGTGGGTTTTGTTTCCTGGAATGGATTTTACTTGGGGTCATGGCTGTATACAGAAAACCAGAGGTAAAATCTGATCAGAATGATGGCGAGAAAAGTGTTGGGCAAGTAGATCAGTTGGAGAATGGTTGTGTAGTTTAAAATAAATTTAGAATAGTGTATGTAGGAGACTCAGGAAAACAGTAGAAGTAGCTATGGTCTTGGTCTGAAGAACATCATTTGGCCAATACCTGTGAATGATACAATACAAAAAGGCTTCAGGAAAGTAGATATAGGACTTGGAGGTAGTGATCTGTAATTGAAGGATGAATGGGAAAGAGTTTGTTTTTAAATATGTTCTATTGAGCCTCTTGCTTCTTCTCTTGCAACTGTTCTCTAAGCAACTATTTTTTTTTAAATGGCAAAGTCCTGAGCTGCTTGTTCAAGGCTTTGATGTTTTGAATTGAATAGAAGCCCAGTAAAGGATATGCTGGTGCCACAAGTTTGTTGCTGAGAGGGGTGAGGGGATAGTGTTGCTCTTTATAATTTAAGACTGATCTAACTAATTGTTCCCTGCTAACTTCCTATTGCTGGCAGTAGGAAATATTCCTAAAACCTCTAGTTTACAGAACAAAAAGAGCATAAATGCATTGCATTTGCACCTTGTGAACATGTTTCACTGCAGGCTGTCCATTGGGCCAGGTAGAGAAATAATGAATGGTAATTGCCTGGGAAGTCAAGAGGCTTGTGAGAGGAGGTAATAAATATGAGTCTATCCCTCTTAATGGTTTGTGATCCCTCTTACTGGTTTGTGTGGGTGTTAGCATAGGCACAGCAAGATACCTGTATTATAAGTTGTTTAACATAAAGCCTGAAAAAATAATTTGGATCTACCTATCCTCTTTACATATATTTCCCCCCCTTCAACCCAACATTCCTGGTCAAAATGAGAAGTTTTAGGTTTCTTTTCCATCTTGCAAATAGTACTGTTTTGCCTGTGGAACCCCTCAGTTTGTTTAAGGGCTCTCTTGAATTGGGACAGTAGGAAAGGCTGTGACCAGAAAGGGCAGCAAACTGTTGTATTTCCTGCTGCAAGCAGGTAACACCTTCCTCCTCCCATCCCTCAGCAGCACTCAGGAGCTGTGTATGGGAGTCCTCCTTTCTTCCACCTCCTTTCTCAGGTTGTCTTCTCCTTTCCATGCCATCTCCCAGGTGATGACTGGGGCATGGCCTTACAGCAGCCCCCTCCCCAGCCCACCTGTTTTGCAGACTTCATCATGACTCAGAGGAATTGGGACGTTTCTTTCTGGAAGTAGAAACATACCAACTTAATTTTTTAAGGAGAACGAATATGTATATAATTATATATAAGAAAAAAAAAAAAGAAATGCAGGTATTTAAACACCCTTGGTAAATTCATGCATGTATACAGTGTCTTCCCCCCAGCCCGTTGGATGTGTAGTATGCAGGACACTAAATGACAAAAACCTCACTGAAATGGTAGACAGGTCTTCTAGCAGCCCCCCGAGAGAGCAGGTGGTTCCTTCTCTGGGTAAGTCGGGCGTGTCCCATGTTTCAGATCTGTGAAGGACACGGGGCGGCTGGGGCTGTGTTCGTGTCACACGGGGACACGCGCGGGGCCACCGCGCTCGGACAAGCCATGAGCGCCCCGCGCGTCCCTCCTGCTCCGGGCAGGCACTCCTCACCCTGTGCCCCTTCCTGCACTGCCCTCTTCCTTCACTCCTTTAAAACACAAACAGAAAACCCCTTCCTGCTTTATTTATAAATGCGTGTTTTTATACTTTCGGCTTTAGGTAAAATAATACTTTGTTTTTTTTTTTAATTATTATTTGGGAAAAGAATAAAAAATTCCTTTTGTTGGTTTTTTTTTTTTTTTTGTTGATGTTGTTGTTTTGTGGGTTTTTTTTTTTTTTTTTTGCACTGTGAGGCTCCCCCGGGAGCTGTTTTTAACTCTGTATCCATTTGTACTTGGTGTCTTAAACTGTTTCAATAAAAACGTGACCATTTGTTACCGAGCTGCGGGGCTCACTCGGGAACTGCGCCCGCGGTTCGTTTTCCGGGGCAAGGGGCGGGCAGGGGGCGGGCGCGGGCGGGGCCGCCTGCTGCGGGGCCGGGCCGTGCATGGCGGAGGGCGCGGCGCTGCGGGCCGTGAGGGGCTGCCTGGCCGCCTTCCCGCGGGAGGCCCGCGGTGAGCGCCGGAGCGCGGAGCGGGGCGGGGGAGGCCGCGGTGACCCCGTCCGAGGCGGGCAGTGGTGCTGGGCCGGCCCCGGGTCCCGGCCTGCCCGCTGCTGCCTCGGCGAGCGGCAGCGGCGTGGGGCGATCAGCGGCACCCACCGTGCTGCCGGCGTGTGGTGGGTCCGAGGTCAAAGGGAAGCAGAAAGGCCCCGGCAAGAAGAAAGCGAAACTCGAGAAAACGTTCCTTTAATGGTTGTTTTTCTGTGTATAAAGTAGCGAAACAAAGCACTATTTCAGCTTCCAAAAAATCATCCTGTGGTATCGCCTCTGTGTGGGAGGTGCACTTCCTGTGGCACAGGCCCTTTATCCCTCTATCCTCAGGCGCTGGCCTGAGGTTTCCATCTGGCTCTGAAACTGCCCTAACACTCTCTGGGTTTTAGCAGAGGCATTCTGGATCCGTGGAGAGCACTGCTTGGTGTCAGCATGGCGAGGCTTGTGAAGCCTGTGTGCTGGCAGGAGGTGCTTGTCCTGGGATGCTGAGTAACGCTGTTTATTGTTTGCCTGGACAGAGCTGGGCTGGCCGGAGTCCGTACCCTATCTTGATAGGCCTCCGTCCCCGCTGGAGTTCTATCGAGAGTGGGTGAGTCCGAATAAACCCTGTGTAATTCGCAATGCCATCAGCCACTGGCCGGCTCTGAAGAAATGGACCTCAGCATACCTCAGGTATGAGTGAGCTGTGGAGCAGGACTGGTGTTCAGTTTTGGGTGACCTCACCAGAAACCTCTTGGTTAATCTTTGCTCTTATTCGTAAGATTAGCCCAGATTCCTTCCTGGTTCTCCATGAAGGTGCTCAGTCTTCCCAAGGTCAGGTGTAAGTGTCTTCCTTGCACACATGCTGCCCTCCCAGTTCCGATGCAGCCAGGAGTGTGGGTGTTGTGGCTGTGTGCAACCAACAAATTCAGGCTACTGAAACCCACACAGCTGGAGTGGGGCTATAATGCTGTAAGAACAGACTGACTTGTTTGTGACTGAGCGCACTGCGTTTTCTTCAAAAAATGAAAGGATGAGCATTTTTACAATGACTGAAATTTTAATGAAAAGTCCTCTTTTAAGAGAGGATTTGTGGTTACACCTAGTATCTGTGGGTCAGATCTAATTCTGTGGGGTTTAAAGCTAAATATCTCATGGAACTGAGGGCTGTTAGCCTCATGAGGTGTGTATCTATCAGTTTCTGTCTACCCCTTCTCCCTGCTCAGTTGCTTTTGAACATGTGAACCCTTGGATTTGACTGAGTTTAATGGCCACAATATCAAGCTCTGCCATGATTGGTGAAAAGAAGTGGCCAAAGAGGACCCTCTGTCTGCATGGAGAAAAAAGGGAGATCCCTTGTGAACCGTCCTCTTAGGAGAGAATTCAGAGAAGAAAAAGAAACTAGAGTTGCCTTGACTGCGGGGAGCAATTGGAGCAGAATGTCGGAGTCCTTACCAGACAGCAGAAAATCTAATCTAGAGACACCCATCCATGGAGAGACAGGCATCTTATTTTTGATGTCCTTGAAACATGTTTTTAAAATAAGCAGTATGTAATATAAGAGCTAATTGCAGGCCTGGATATAAACCTTTGATTTGTTTTGCAGGGAGGTGGTAGGTCCCAAGGTGGTGAGTGTGGCAGTGACACCAAATGGTTATGCAGATGCAGTGTTTCAGGACCGTTTTGTCATGCCAGAGGAGCGCCAAATGCCTTTCATGGACTTTTTGGACATTGTGGAGAAGAAAGTGACCTCTCCCAACGTATTCTATGTGCAGAAGCAGTGCTCAAACCTCACTGAGGAGTTCCCTGAACTTGTCTGTGATGTGCAGCCTGACATACCATGGATGAGTGAGGCACTGGGTAAACCCTTAATCTCTCATATTTAGTAAATATTTTGCATGAAGCTTTAAAACAATCATACACATTTAAAAAATTCACTACATGGTGAATACTTGTTCTCTTTCTGAATGCCGCAGCTCAGTTTGGTTTCATCGTCTCAGAAAGCAGAAGTGGTAAAATACCTAATAGAGTAATCCAAGTTTTGGGGCTGGATTTCTCTGAAATCAGTATCTCTGTTGTGTATTGGGACCCTCACAACTGAAAAGAGGTTGTGTAATGCTTCTTTACATTGAGTGGCTTTTCTTGATCTAGAGTCATACTTTGGCTTAGTGTTTGCAGTGTAGAAGGAAGTTGTTGTTGTTCACAGAGTGCTATTTGCAATGAAATCTGTCATAGTTATGAAGGAAGTTATAGGACAGAATTTGGCAGAAAATTATTTGAAATGCTTTTTAAAAATGACAGTTTGTTGTTGTCATATATTTCTTTTTCCTAACTATACAGGGAAGAAGCCTGATGCTGTGAATTTCTGGCTTGGGGAGTCAGCTGCTGTGACATCTTGTACGTATCCTATGGCAGTGTAAATCTTCTGGTGATTTCAGCACAAGTTTAAGCTGGCTTGTTTTGACTTAGTGGCTCAGGAGAATGGTGTGGTTTTTCTGACAGGGCAGTTCTATTTTAACATGCTTTTTTTGCAGTCTTTATTCTGCCCTTCTGAGCCTCCTGCTGCTGTGTCTCTGGGTGCATTTACCTGGCATTGTGTCAGGCAAGGCACTGACAACTTGCTTCGTTGAATGCCTTCGCTACAGCATGATATTGTGACTTTTCTGCTGGCTGCAAGAGGAAGAAGCAATCTGATTATAATAGGGAAAGCTGATACTTTCAGTTTACTGTAGTTTCTGCTGCAGAGAAGGAAATAGCTATGATATTGTCTTTCTCCCCATTTCTCTTTTTTTTTTTTTTTTTTTTTCTCAATCCTAGTACATAAGGATCATTATGAGAACTTGTACTGTGTAGTATCTGGAGAGAAATATTTTCTACTGCATCCACCAAGTGACCGTCCCTTCATCCCATATGGTACATCATTTTGCTGTGCAGTGTGTCTGAAGGTTGGAAGGAGGACAGACTAAAACACTGAAAGATGTGAAAAAAGGAAGCTGTGGTAACATTTTGGTGTCTATGCAGTGTTAAGCTTTCCAGTGTGAACAAAAATCTCTTCTACTTCATGCTGCAGGTAGTTTGTAATACAAATGTTATTCTGAGGCCAGGTTTTCTAGTCCAGGAAAGTAATGAGGTCATTGGTTCACTCATCTTGAGTCCTGTGTCCAGTTGTGGGCCACTCAGTTCAGGTAGGACATTTAGATATTGAAGCGAGGTAAGAGAAGGGCATTAAAGCTGGTGAAGGTTCCAGAGGGTAATTCCTATGAGGAGCAGCTGAGGGAGCTGGGTTTTTTAGCCTGGAGAAAAGGAGACTTAAGGGGGAACTTATGACTCTCTAGAACTCCTGGAAAAGTGCTTGTACCAAGATGGGGGTCAGGCTCTTTTCCCAGGCAACCAGTCACAGAAGGAGGTAATGGTCTCAAGTTGTGCCCAGGGGAAGTTTAGATTTGACATTGGAAGGAATTTCTTCACATAAATGTGCTTAGATATTGAAATGGACTGCCCAGGGGAGTGGTGAAGTCATGTGCCTGAAGGTGATTTAGGAAAGACTGGATGTGGCACTTAGTGCCATGGTTTAGTTGACAAGGTGGTGTTCGGTCATAGCTTGGACTTGATGATCTCAGGTGATCTCAGATCTCATCTCTTGATGTCTTTTCCAACCTAATTGATTTTGTGATACTCGTGGCAGTCTCTTCAGCTTTAGAATGTTAAATTATTTAAGTATATTGTCAGTGTTGTAGCATGTCATCTTTGTTGTTTTACAGGTTTGGATTCTGCCTACCTGCTTTTCTCTAGGAAAAAAAAAAAAGCCAGGAAACTAAAATATTACTTGTATTTTAATGAATATTCAAGCTACTAACTGAATCTCTGAAAACTGAGAAATGAAGAAAGAGATTCTTATGACAGCATTGCTTCACACTGCCTGTTTTCTGTTTCTTTGTGTGGTTTTCCTATGTGTACTGCAATCATTACTATTGCAGAGTCATCTGAAAGACAGACAGCTTAACTTTATACCTCATAAGACTTAATTTCCCCATTCCTTGGCTTTCAAACCGTCAGACAGAGTGCTCTATGATGGAAATAAAATTTTGGCTAGATGTGTGCTGCTACAGTATTTTATTTATACTGTTTTTATTTTGCTTACAACCTTGAAGTCATAGAATCACAGAATGGTTTGGGTTGGCAGGGACCTTGAAGATCATTGAGTCATTGCCCCTGCCATTCAATAGACCAAATTACTCAAAGCTCCATCCAGCCTGACCTTGAATACTTCCAGGGACAGGGCATCCACACTTTCTCTGGGCAACCTGTTCCAGTGCCTCATGACCTTCATTGTTAAAAAATTCTTCCTTGTATATAATCTAAATCTACCCTGTCTCAGTTTGATATCATTAACCCTTGTCCTGGCCTTGGTAAAGTCCTCTATCTTTCTTAGGAGACCTTTATAGGTACTGGAAGGCCACAGTGAGGTTTCCCCAGCACTCTCTCTTCTCCAGGCTGAATAACCCCATCTCAGCCTTTTTTGGACAGGTGGTGTTTTATGTATGTGAATGTATGAAATATATGTGTGTTATAGGAGTCCTACTTTGTAAAACAAGTTACTGTTAAAACATAGAACAGAGATAATGCTTACATTTCATAGTGTGTAGTAAAAAGAGAATTCCATCTTTTTGAGCATTAGGTTAATTAATGGAGAGAAACTGTCTCAAGGGAGGGCTTAGAAAACCACAAGTGCTGAAGCAATGAAAGAAAAGCAACCAGCAGTATCTGAAGCAATTGTTGAGCCCTGTCAATTAAAATTAGAAATGAAAGACTGGCCACAAGTCACTAATAACTCCTGTGAGTGCTTCTTTGGTAGACTGACCTAAGATAGAACACCCAACTATAGAATGATGTGTAAGTCAGGGGTGCATTTATGCCTTCTGAAAAGGAAAGAAAATAGTTACTGGAACAAGATAGGACTGGGATACAAACGGGCTTGGAGGAGAATAAGTATTATTCAGACTGACTGAAAAAAAAGTATATTAAAAACTGGATAAAATTTGAAATGGAAAAAGGGAATGGTAGTGAGTACCCTAAGTTGAAAGTGGTTTTGTCTTAATTTTTCTTGGTGAAAATGTGGCATGCACTGCCATTAAGTTCTCTGAATTGTATAATTTAATCCTTTCTCTGGTTCCAGAGCTCTATCAGCCAGCAACCTACCACGTATCAGAAGATGGTTCATTTAAAATTGTGGATGAGAAAACTGCAGAGAAGGTAAAAAGTTTATAGAGAATGCAGTTAATACAGTAGGGAGAGTTTGGGACATTGCTAAGCCCTCAAACTCAGCATATTGTTGATATTTAGAAATCCTTCCTTACTGGAAAGAGAATGCCCAGATATTTCACTTGTATTTTACTATTTGCAAAGGATACCCAGCTTCCAGAAAAATCTTTACTGCACACCTGAAACAATTAATATAATTGTTGCCTTGCACCAGACTTTAATAGATCCACTAAAGAACTTTTGCATGCGTTGGCAAGAAGGGAATTGATTTCATTATGCCTGAAATAGACTCCTCTACATTCTCTTTCTTTTGGCCCTCTACTCATGTTCACAGTAGTATCACCCAGTGCAATAAAACGTACCTGTCTGAATGAACAAGTTGTATTTTCTTAGTAGCAGCAGCAATATTTATTTGATTAAAATGTTTAGATCTGGAGTCACTTTACAAGTCTCAGTAGAATCTTAATCCCTTGCCTTTTGCCTCTGCAAAGTGTGAGTAATGTTACAACAGAACTTGAACTTGGCCTTGTTCTCTGTTTCCAGGCTGGTGCTCATGGAATTTCATTCCTGTAATGCAGCAAGGTTGGAATGCTGAGGTTTATAATTCTGTAGGGCAGAGAAAGAATTAATGCAGGCAAAAGGGACTTCCTAGAAAGGAGGGATGTTTCAGCTGCTGGGAGTAAAAATTACACCAGAGAGCCTAAGAAGAAGAAAGGAATTTCTAAAAAGAGTGCTACAGATAAAGTATTTAAGTACTGAATGTAGGAAGAACAAGCAACTTAAGGGGCTGGAGATGTTTTGAAAGTGTGCCACGAGACTGCAGTTTCATGGATGACATTTATTGCCTTTTCTCTAATTAGAAATGCATCACCGAAGGAGGCACATCTTTGCATCCTTGACCTATTCCCAATTGAATGTGGAAAGCTGTGTAGCTGTACATGTTTTGCTAGACCAAGTACATGTTGTGTAACCTAGTGAGTTTGATTATCAGTTGTTTTTCTGGAAGCTTGCTGGAATTTTTTGCCAGGGTCAGTACCATATACACACTCTTTTGCCTTTAGGTGCCCTGGATCCCTCTGGACCCCTTGAAACCAGATCTAGAACTGTATCCAGAGTATGCTCAGGCAAAACCTTTGCAGTGTACAGTGAAAGCTGGTGAGATGTTATATCTGCCTTCTCTCTGGTTCCATCATGTTCAGCAATCTCATGGCTGTATTGCAGGTAAAATAGACAGTATTTCCAGACACATTTTTGAACTGTGGTGGGTGTGCAGCTAGATATCCCACAGCAAAGCACCACTGGGAGCAAAAGTTCCTTTAAGGTAACTGCCTCTCTGCAGGAGGGAATAACAATCTTGACAGATCCCATGGGGCTGTCTCCTTGCATATATAATTTTGGTTATAATTCATAGCTTTGTCGTCACAACATGAAAGATACTCTATTTTTATAGGAGCTGAAGTCTGCTCTGACCCAGTCTCTTACCTTGTTAATAACGTTGTGTTTGTGTTACTGTTCCCCTGCACTTACCAAAAGTCTTGTCATCGCTTTCTTTGTAGGATTTATCCTCATCTCTCTATTTCTTTTTTTTTTCTTCTCTCCTCAAGTGAATTCCAGAATTTCCATTAGTGCTCATTTGGTACATGTGGAGGGGTGGGGATGGTGCAAGGCATTATTGTTATGTTGTGCAAGTTTTGCAAGGTTTGAGGAAGAGATTTTTGCTGGAATTTTTGCTTGTCCTTTGTCTGGAATAATCCTGATAATGCTGTTCAAGAAAAAAGTATTTTGAGCAGCACAACACTAGTATTTGTATAACACTGCAAATATTGCAAGCCCTTTTTTCAGTTCTTGTGATTCTGTGATAAAAAGATGATCTAGCATTAAGGCAGTAATTATGTTTTTTTTTTTTTCCCCAGTGCTGCTGTGTCAGACCTTAAAGATTTTTTTGAAAAAGTAGAGTTGTTTCCAGCTGCAAGCCCCTGGCCACTTTTTTTTTCTCTGTTTAGCAGAAATATCAAAGAGTTTGAGTTTATTTGTCCTTTAGTCTGTTAACTGCAGTACAGTCTGTATACACTTGAAAAATCAATATTCTCTTTGTCTGGTCCAGTGAATATCTGAGGCTAGAGGATATCTTCCACCAAGAAGCACTGGTATAATATTACAGTGTATGGCTTAATTTTCCTAGGAGACATACCCCAAAATTAGCAAGGGAAGCAGAATTAAAGCACTGTCTGATTGATGACCACTGTGAAGTAGTGATGAATTTGCCATCCTTTACACAGGAAGAAAGGTTCCCATCCAGATATTAAACTTTGCAGTTTGGTGTTTTTTGTCTAAATAGAAACACACTGTTCCTAAGCTACTGTTTTGCCATCTTCTGCTCCAATGAATCTCCAGTACAGAGTCTGAAGTTGGTTTGGGTTAAGACACAGTTGCATTGGCAGCACTTTTTAAGAACTCCATTGTTATTTTTAGCTGTAGTCAGAGATTTGCTCATTTCTAAGTTCAGTCAGTAATAAGGAAAAGCCTGTACTAACTGAACTGTGTAAAGCAGTCTGTGAACACATTCGTAAATCATTGCATTCTAGCCTTAAAATGTTTTTCCCTTTTCTTGTCTCCTCAGTGAATTATTGGTATGACATGGAATATGACATTAAGTACAGCTATTATCAACTACTAGATTGTCTCACAAAAGCTGTGAAAATGCTATAGCAAAGGTGGGAGACTCGAGCCTGTGATGTCTGTTTCTGATGTGATGCAATCATCAGCATCTGTGACTGGAGTACAAATGTGATTCCCCCAAAAAGATCTGAACATTAAATTATGGTCAACAATGCCTGCTGAACACATCATGGCTATCTTTCTTGATTTCAGAGTCCAGAGCAATTGGCCGGATTTTTTGGCTTATAAGTAGAACTTTGATTTTGAGGTCTTTGCATGTTGCCTTGGTGATGGTGAGAAAAATAGAATGTGAATCGAGACAATCCAGGTTTTGAAAATCCCAAACCAGAAGCCCTGACTGTTCAGATCTACAGATTGTTTTCATTACAACCCAAGTGGACAAGGAAGGATCTGCTCTATGCATCAGGCTGCAACAGTCCAATGTATGCATTCTGTTTAAGGCAAAAGTCTGTCCTGTTGTAATTCTTTAAGTTCAGTGGCTGTGATATTTTGATGGTGAGAAACTACAATTTCTGCAATAAATAGGTCAGTTTAAAGCTTATTTCTGTACTAATTTACTTTTTTTCCAAAGTAAACAATGGCTGAAGGACTTCTAGGAGGACATGCAAAAGTCAATGTTGGCTATTTTCCAATAAAAAGCTACACGTTTTTAGTGCTGTTTTTTATTTCTTTTCACTGATGTATTTAAACATAACTGCATTCTCTTACATCCTGAGGGATGATTTTAGAGTTGCTCTGCCAGAGCTGCAGTCAATCTGCATAGCATCTCTGGTCTCATGGCATGATGTGTGATTCTGCAGCTTGCAAGCTCACTGATTGTTTCATTCCTTTGCCATTAATTGTTGCTTAGTGCATGGTCAGGCAAGTTGTTATGGTTCAAACAGCCATAATTCCCATTTGTATTTCCACAGAATGGGATGGGACTACTCACGAGTCTGAGACCCCCAGGGTTGGACAAGAAGGCTTTTAAATATGCGCACATTGCAAAAATGTAGTATTGTTGTTTATGAAAACCAAAAGCTGGTGTTTATTGTCAAATCTTCAAACAGTTCCTTAGAAACATTATCAATATGGGGAAAATTAATTATTGGGAAGGAAAAAAAAAAAAGAGTAATTGTTTGACTTTGTTTCTTTTGCTTTTTAAAAGACATAGCATAAAGTTTCATTTTAGCTTGTGGTGCTTGTCCAAACATTGCAGAAAGCTCAAGGGGGTTCTAGAGCAGGCTTGGTTTCGTGGCGAGATTAAGATGTCATGCAGTTTAGGCTTTGAAGCTTGTCTGTGTTTACTGTGCCCGGGCGAAGGCTCCCAAGCCTTCCAAATCTGGGATTTCCTGCAGCTTTGGAGCGCGGCAATTGGGATACCTCTTTTTGCTGCTTTGAGGTTTTTAATTTAGTCTCTCTCTGTGATCAAAAGTAAAAGCACTCGCCAGGAACAAGTGGCAGCTTGTGCCCGTGCAAGTGGCCGGTGCCACCGTGCCGCCCGAGCCGGAGAGTGCGGAGGGAGGCGGGCTCTGAACTACGGCTCCCAGCAGCCCGTGCCGGCCGACTGAAGGAAGTGCTCACGATGGTTCCTCCTGGACTTTGAGCACAGATTTTAATCCCGAGAAGGGACAGGTTGCCGAGGCTCGTGTCTCACGCAGTTCGGGCGGTCGGTGCCTCGCCCCAGGAAGGGCCGCAGCTCTCCGCGCAGCCGAGCCGGGATGGCGGTGCAGGTGTCGGTCCTGCCTTCCCGCAGGTGCCTGTTCGATGAGCCCGTGCAGATCCGTGTGGCCGGTCTGCAGCCGCAGCAGCCGGTCATCCTCCGAGCCAGCCTGGTGGACGAGAGCGGGGAGCTTTTCCAATCCCACGCTCTCTACAGGGCTGAGAGCAGCGGGGAGCTGGACCTCAGCCGCTCCCCAGCGCTGGGGGGCAGCTACTTAGGAGTGGAGCCCATGGGGCTGCTCTGGGCTCTGCGGTCCAAAACGCCCTATAAGCGGCTGGCAAAGAGGAACGTCCTGACCCCTTTCTGTGTGGACTTGGAAGTGTATGAGGGCCGTGGGGACACGAGCCGCTTGCTGGGAAAATGCACCAATGAACGATGGTTTTTAGGAGAGGGGGTGAAGAGGATTTCTGTCAGAGAAGGTCGTCTCAGAGCAACCCTCTTCCTCCCTCCTGGTGAGTTTAATTCCATTCTGGTTTTCCAGGTGTGTCTGACACCGCGTATTATTTCCCGTGGTCCCTGAATGCACTCAGCAACCCAGCACTGAGCAAAGCCTCAGCTAACACTTCCCTCAGCCTGTGCCTGGTGCAGGTACCTGGATCATCACAGCAGAGCAAAGAGGAGCAGGTGCTGCCCAGGCGGGGCAGGGGTATGGTGGTGCAGAGAGGGCAGCAGGGGAAACACAAGGTGTTTCCTGCTTGATCTAGCTGAGTGTCTTGACTTCTTCTGCGGTGAGAGCTGTGTCAAACAGTGTGTTTATTTCTTAGCTTTTCTGTTTAGCTGACAGGACAAAGAGGTCCCCGGTCCTTGGCAGAGCTGTGATGCGTGACAGCTCTGGCTGTGGAGTGAAGAATGACAAGGCATGGTGGAAGCACTGGACTCAGGCTACATCCAGCCTAGGCTGAAGAACCATGCTCTCTGCAGCTTCCACAGATCTTCCTGCAGGTTCTGGACCTTTCTCTTTGTGTCCCTCTTTAGCTAAGGAAAAGCCAAAGAAAGAAGTCTCTTCCTGACTGGGCAGCTGGACTGTGTGGGATACTTAGGGAGATGGAAGACAAATGGGAAAAGCAAGGTCTTTAATTAAACAGGTGCCATATTTTATGACTCTGTACACAGACAGTGCTGAGAATGGATCCTGTGCAAAGCTGTTTTAAGCCTGAATTGTTTCTGTTCCTTGAATGACACTTAAACCTGGCTGTCTTGCTCTGTAATTAACAAACAGTCCCTTGCACCTGCAGCAACACCACATCTTGTAAGGGAAATCTGGCTGTGAGAATATGCAGACCAGCATCAGGAAAGGAAGGTCCTGTTGCTGCAGGAGAACTGAGGAGCTCAGGGGTAGTTACTCAGATCTTACTGAAGCCTGAATTGGGACAGGTCAGTTCTGGCTTTTGTGAGTATTTCATAACCCAAGTATTTCATAAACCAAGTATTCCCACCATGGCATGCCTGCTAGCATAGTGCCTAAGGAAGAGCCACTCCTGCAGTAATACTGTTTCTTCATTGATCCTCAGTGGCCTGAGGATTTGTAAGCTAATGCCATCTGAAATTCAGGATGAGAAAAGGATATCCAACATGTGAACTTCCTATAATGAGTTCCTAAGAGAGGAAAGAAATGTGCAAATTCATGTCCTTACAGTCAGTTTGTGTGTTCCTGAGAATGATACCCACCATGGAAAGCTTCAGAGGACGATTTTCTTCTGATATCTACTGTCCTGATGTGTGCTGAAGAGGCACCACAAAAGGATACCCAGAGGAACTTTTCTTTTGGTTATGTATACACACTTCTTTCATTGCAGGACCTGGCCCATTCCCCGGACTTATTGATTTGTATGGATCTGGAGGAGGTCTTATTGAATACAGAGCAAGTCTCCTGGCTAGCAGAGGCTTTGTGACTCTGGCTCTTGCTTACATGTCCTTTGAAGATATCCCTGCTATGCCAGAGGTCCTTGAACTGAGCTATTTTGAGGAGGCTGTGAACTTTTTGCGTAAGCAGCAGCAGGTAAGAGACAAATTATAGTGCTCTTCCTGACACTGTTTTCCAGTTTTTCTAATTGGTTCCTAGACTAGAAGCATTAAACTGCTTAAGCAGGAAACCATAATTTTGTACTAGTTTTGCATCTTTTAAGATTTTAGAAGGGGAAAAAAATCCATTGGATTTTTTACTGTTTCTGAGATATTACAGGCTTTTGATTCTGAGTAAGTTTTGCAGGACAGTAATAAAACACACTAACAACAGAATCCTTTACAGTTGTAGCACTGGAGGTGTGACATATCTTAAGAAGCTGAGGCTGTATTTGAACAAGTGTGTGGTACAAGAAAGATGCTTTATGGCAATATCACAGTTAACCCAAAAGTGACTAAGAGAAATCAAGTAGCATTTAAATTTTTAATACAATGCTACTGAATGTGTATTTGTTTTTCAAAATTATTTACTTTCTATCACATGGACGCCTGGATTGTAGGCAGTGTGACAGCAGAATTCAGCCTTGCTTCTTTGTCTTGTTCCTCAGAGAGCTTTGAAACATCTAGAATTCAGTATGAAGGGCCTTCACTAGAAATAAGTTGATTTAAACAGATATTGGGCTCATTTAGCCTCAGGTGTAATGAACATTATGTCTTCCAAGACAAAACAGAAAATAACAGGTCAGCTGTAGGAGAGAAGAAACTACAATGAAGACATTCAATGCAAGTAAACCCAGGAAAAGTGGCTTGGAGAGAGGTGCAGTAAGAGGCACTGTACTGAGAGCAGGCTGAGCTGGGATGTGGAGGAAGCAAGGATGCTTTGTCTCTCGCCAGGAGGCAAATATGTAACAGGAGGAGAAATGTTGAGAGCTGTAGAATTCATAGTCACTCTTTTGGAAGCTCAGCAGAGGGATAGATGAAGGAGTAATATAACCTGAGCAGAGAGAGGGAAGGGGGAAAATATGATTGGTCCTAGTTGGATGAGTGAGAAAGCAGAGAGAGGGAAGGGGAAAAATATGATTGGTCCTAGTTGGATGAGTGAGAAAGCAGATCTGGAGAGGTTATGTCAGCTCAGGAAATAAAGAGTAGTTAATATTACTGTTTTCATTATTCTGTTTCAGGTGAAAGATACTGGCATTGGTGTTTTGGGCTTGTCTAAAGGAGGTGATCTAGCCCTTTCCATGGCCACATTTTTACCTGGCATCAAGGCAGCTGTCAGCATATCTGGAAGTAGTTTTAATTCCTTTGTTCCCCTGAAGGGGGATGGCTTCACTATTCCTGTCCACCCATATGACTTGGGGAGGATGAAGATCAGTGATGAGTCTGGAATAGTAGATTTTTCAGATGTCTTAGATGATCACATGGACCCAGCAACTTGGGATTGTCGCATTCCTGTGGAGAAGTCCTTAGCCAAGTTCCTCTTCCTGTCTGGACTGGATGACATGAACTGGAAAAGTGACCTCTATTGCCGGGATGCTGTTCAGCGCCTTCAGCGGCATGGCCGGGAAGTGGAGTTTTACTCCTACTCTGGAGCAGGGCACCTCTTGGAGCCACCATACTTGCCTCTGTGCAAAGTTTCAATCCACAGGGTGCTTGGGATGTTGATACATTGGGGAGGGCAGTGGAGAGAGCATGCTAAAGCCCAAGAAGATGCGTGGCGCAGGATACAGGCCTTTTTCTGGCAACATTTGATGGACTCAGACATCCCTAAGAGCAAGCTGTAGTGAGACCTGTCATAGATGCTGGCCAGGGATAGTATTTCAGCATTCACTGGATCTTGGAAACTCAACTAGAAGTTTCCTGGACTGCCTTCCTCTAAACTCCACTGTTGCATAGTTGTTTATTTTCATTCCCCAAATAATTTCCCATTCTTTAGT